CCAGATCCTGGAAGCAGCCTATCTTTGCTTGCCTTACTAACACGGCGGCCGTTGACTTCACCTGTTCATTCTGTTTCGATGCAGGCCCGTTTGGCTCCTGCTCAGATATCAAAATGTGTTTGACCCACTTAAAGCTAGGCCATCATGTTTCGGTGAGCACATGTTGCAGACTCCTGAGTCTCGTGGCAGCGGCCTCTCCTGTGCTGCCCCTGGGACTGCTTCATATGAGGCCATTTCTGTGGTGGATGAAGTTCAAAGGAGTTTGTTTGTCGTGGCCGGCCCTCCGCCTCCTAAGAGTGTTGTGCAGTTGCAGATTCTGACCCTTAAGGTGATGCTCCTGTTGCCGTTGGATTCTATCAAACGCGTAGGGGATTTGCAGGCTCTCTCTGTTAGCAAGTCATGCATGGAATTTGCTACAGGCCTTGTTAAGGTATTCCTACGGCCCATATCCGGTTATGTCCCCAAGGTCTTGTCCACGCCATTTCGCTCACAGGTGGTTCACTGTCTTCCTCCTTTTGCTTCTGTTGCTTTTGCTCCGCCCTGTTCGAGCATTGAAGCTCTATGTGGACCGCTATAGCCAATGGCACAAGTCCTCCCATTTGTTGGTGTGTTTTGTTGCTGGCCTCCGAGGGCTCACCACATCAAAACATAGGATTTCTCATTGGGTAAGGGATTCTATCTCGCTTGTGTTTGAGGTGCAAGGTCTGTCTTCACCGCTAGGTATTTGAGCTCATTCTACCAGGAGTCTTGCTTCCTCTCCAGCTCTTTTCAGAGGAGTTGCCCTGGAGGATATCTGTGTGGCGGCAGGATGGTCCTCTCCTCACACTTTTATCAGGTTTTATAGCTTGGATTTAGATGCATCGGGCCAGATATGGCAGTGCTTAGCTTGGTGGGTGTGGTATATCGTTCCCATTGCATTATAGCTACACAGCGTTAAGTGAACCTACGAAAGAGAATGTCTTGGGTTACTCACGTAACCCAGCTTCTCTGAATAGGGAATGAGACGCTGCATTCACTGCCAGGCTCCTCGCGTTGCCGACAGGACTTCTTTGGCAGGAAATCTAAGGAGCGGAGGGCATTTCACCATCAGCCGACTAATTTCACATGTGCATTGCTTTTTCTCCATGTTTCAAATTTCTTTAATCTTACCAGTTAAAGGTGTTCAGTCCAGGCATGTGCTCTATTTTTTTGTCCAAAACCTTTTTGATTGGCAGACACTGGGCGACCACCTTCAGCATAATAGCGATTTTCAACCACACAATGAGCCTCTATTTGGACTTTTACTAATTTACAGGCTATGCATGTGTTTGATCTTCTCAGACCTGTCTTCATAATTATGCTCATACGTACACAGACACTCATACTCATTAATGCGGCTCATTATTCCTCCTCCCAGTTCAGTGATTTTCTGGCCACTGTCATAATAGTGATTTGTGGACTCAGATTGTACACTAGCAGCTGCTGATCTATAAGCTTTCACTACACTGTAAATTCTTGCAGAATCAACAGCACTTGGAGTTCTTTCACCAGTGTATCCTGTCCATCTTTTCAGTCACAGCTCTGCAACTGCCAAAGAAATTACATTTCAGCTAAGTTGACCGTTTTTAGGCTTAATTGAATGTAATGAGACAAAACAAAAGACTATGAATCAGAGCAATTACTAATTAACATCTGACTCACTGACTAAATGTGTGTGGTTTTTAGGTACAGACACACATTCACAAATAGGTTTTATTATAATAAATTGTATTTTAATTAAAACTTTAGAATACAAAACAGTGTTGTTGGTATATAGAAGCTGCGAAACACTGTAGGAAACATTACATATATTTTGTTCATGACAGTCCATCTGATTCAGCTAGATTTAGATACTTGTTTTGTCTGTTGCCCCGTGATAATGTAAATACATCATCATTGATTGTTTGTTTTTCTGACTTACTGGTCTTGCTTCCCTCTGACCTCTGTGTCAGTCTCCTGTTATGAAATGAAAGAAGAGTTAGAGCTGGACCAGGGGGAGTCTTTGCATAGGCTTCATCTGTGGACACTCATCCGTCTTCAATACAGGGAATAGCGTTTGAACACTAATGATCCTCCTCCTGCTTTACTGTCTGGTCCTGGAGACCCAGTGGAAAAGCACACACTTACACACGCACACTCAATTGGGTCTGACAGCAGCCCATCTTTTGAAACACGCATGCATAGCCTCTTTGATCTGTGTGCTTTTGGCCCTGAGTTGGATCTCTGTAGTGTTTGCTTGGTCTTGCTCTTAAAGAATATGTTTCTGCTTTCATCCCTGAAGATATTCATACTCTTGCCTTATGTCAATTGATGGACAGATGCTTGAAGTCAATAACTGATATTGTAATTTTATCCCATATTTGTATTTTGAGATTAATTCAAGTAACTTTGAATATAAAAATGTGCCTGAATTTGACATAACACACAAATTTTTTTAGCACTCACTTCTGTTATTTATGCTCTTTATTAGTGGTGTTTTCTGAAGTCGAATCGGTCTTGTTTGTATAGTGCCTAGCAACCTCCTAGCAATGCCCTAGCAACCATTCAGAACACTAGCAGTTGAACACTCTGGCATTGTGTTGGTGAGTTTTGAACAGCCAAGTACCACTCACATTTTCTTCAGAAAATATAAAAACCTGTAATTGTTAAGCAGTGTATTTGTGAAAAGCAATTTATTTTTGACTGCACAGCCAGTGACAGATGAGACAAATGAACCTGAAGAAAAAGAAATTGCCTCGTTGCCTGACTGTCTGTGATATTGGTGTGTCAGATCAAATGTTATGAAGTTAATTCAGATAGCCATCTTGTACAAAAACACAAAGACTGCATTCTCATAATACAGAGATGATCAAACAAGCGTAAATGTTCGTGTTGATGACAGCAGTACAGAAACTTATAGTCAGCTCATTACTAGTGATGCTGCTTACACCTGTGCGATGCAGTTTTTCATTAATTGTGACTATTGCTTGGTTAATTTGTGTCATTAGTCTTTCTTTGTCTAAGGTAGTTGCTCACTGAGGACTGCAGTGGTCCCAAAATTTATTTGGACATTGATTCCGCAATTAAAAATGTATGAATGTGATGAATTGCTTATGCTCCTCTATTATACGTCTCTTTGGATAAAACCATCCGCTAAATGTATGAAGTAGGGCTACACAATTATCGTATTTTAATCATGACGATTTCTGCTTCTCTTGATTAAGCATAATCATTGTGATATTGCCCTGCTGATTATTTATCATGAAAACATTTTTTTTGTGACATTTACATTATCTATAACAAGGCTAGCTTTCATGGTTGCCAGATGTCAAGAGTCTAAATCTCTCAAAGCTTTATCCATAAATAGATACATTTTCCATCAAGTGTTTATTTAATGTTCCTCACCTGGCAACCATGCACACGTTCTCTCTCTGCACTGCAAAAAAAAGCGTTCACAATCTGAAAACACAGACAATCATGTACATCAATTATTCCATCTGCTGCTGCCAGCAGCTTAGGTATCACTCTTGGCTCTTATATTAGACACTATTATTAAACTCTCTAAAGCTGCATTCCTTCAACTCCGTCGTATTGCCAGACTCCGTCCCTATGTCAGCCTAAAAGATGCTGAATCATTAGTACATGCATTTATCCAGTCTGTGTTCCTTCCGCCACTAAATTTGTGTACAAACCTTCTCAGTGATAAATCCAAACATGAATCTTGACTATATTGTTTGCGATATTGTGGTTGCTGAATAAATGCACATACACAACCTCTGTTCTACAATTCAAAGTAAAACAAAATTTGGAATGATTGAAATTAATATTAGAAATTTCACTGTTTTTGCTTTTGAAAGAAAGCTAAACATTTTTACAAGTTTGTTATTGTTATGTGTTAATATAAATTATAAATATATCAGGAAACTAAATGAAGTAAAATAAACCCAGTGTATGAGTTGACAGTGTCTTTGATTTGTGCTTACATGAAAGTGCAATCATCCTGATGAAATGTAAAAAGAAATTTCAATAATTCATAATTGTGGTTTATATTGAGGAAATCTGAGTGATTTATATTTTGAGCAAAATAATCATGATTATCAGTTAAATTATTATTGTGCAACCCTATTATAAATGTTAATGTAATGAATGTCTTTGCATTAAATAACAAAATATCAGACCTAGAGGCATTGGCTAAGAAATGATGCAGTCTTCACTTATCTTTGTCATTTCAAAGGGATAATTCATTCAAAAAATGAAAAATCTTGGAATTCTTGGATCATTGTAACATGTGAAAACGCTGTCAGATCCTGTTCTAGATCCAAACAACACCTCAATCCTCACTCAGTCCTTCCTTCTGCTGTTTCCTTCCACTCGTTCATTACTGTGCACTGTATTTGCTTTTTCTCTCATCATGACTCTCATGACTCTCATTTATCACTTACAAGAGTTTTTCAGCTGATCACTTTTTCCCAAATAGAAACTGCACTATTGATGCACATGTCAGGTTGGGCTTGTTACATAATAATCAGAGGAATGCCATTCAGTGCGTGTGTGCGTGGTTTCTCGTACTTCCTCTCTGAATTATGCAATCGCTTGTTGAAGTGTTCTCTTTTCACTCGGCTTTCAAACACCACTTCAAATCAATAAAATAAAAGTTGTTCAAACCACTCAATCCGTAAAGAGTTCACTTGAATGTTATTGGCACATGCAAAAAGAGCTCATTCAAGTTTTAATATGTGTTTTATTTGTTTTGGCAACTCTCTGTTAGTATTCTTTCATTAGATTTGCACTTGCTCTGGCAGGGTGTGAGGAAGTTCCTTCCTTGTTTTCATGTGTTGCAGTTTTGCATGCTACCTATAGGTTTTCTAACTTCAGGTTTTTATGTCTACCTTAGCGCCACTGAACTCCGTTTCCCTCTCGTCAGCCTCACTGGACCAAAGTCCTGTCAGTCACAGCTATGGGTCTGTTTACTCAACCCTCTCTCCCTCCCCCTGTTCTTTCAGGCATCTGCATGAACTGCCAAGGCAACACTGAAGGACCCAGCTGTGAGAAGTGCAGGTATAATTTCTACCGAAGTCCCAGTTCTCCCATGACAGAGCCCTGTGTCCCCTGCCCATGCTCCAGTGTCACCTCCACAGGCAGCTGTAAGCTCGGTGAGTCCTTCCCACATGCATGCCAGGCTAGTGTAGCTGACGTTAGCATAGCCTGCTAACTTTATTATTGAGCTCTTATTGGCCACTGCTGTAGGAAATTCAGAGGAGATTTCCACATCTGGGATATGTGGAGTACCCCCTCTCATCTGTTTTGGATTATGTGTCTTGCATCATTCTGGCCAACCGCCTGCTGTCTGAATTTCTGGGTGGGTGGACTTTTAATAGAAGAGAGGTTTATTTTAAGTGAAAGTGAAACTGGAAACTTTTTTTTCTCCTCTCTGGGCCTCCACTCTGAACAAAACCCTCACAGGATATGTTTATGAAGTACTGTAAAGGCGAGAACGGATGGGAGTGTTTCTTGTTTCTTATTCAGAAGTGTTTTGATCAGTCCCACAGTGCTCTGTCTCTCTGTCTCATGGCTTATTCACCATGTGTTTGTGTGGAATTGCGTGATATTGTTTTGTGAAGGGGTTTCTGGATTTGCTGACAGCAGCAATGTTCTTGTAGCCTTGCAAGCTGATGTAAGGTAGGACCTGACAACGGATAAATACCACATAGACCAGCAAAAGGGCAGGTGGGTGTTGTTCAGTGTTCCCAGATATTACAGTAGGGTAGATCACAAATGTAGCCACACAGTGTAGCTGCTGTTTTTTGTGTAACAGGAGAAACATTATAACATGCACTAAAGGAATTATAGTCGCAATCTTCTTTTTTTTTTCAAAAATAAAAAATAAAATAAAGATGATACTCCACTTTATAAAAATTCAAACTAAGAAAAGTTTTGTTTTTTGGGGGGTTGTATTTTTAATACTCTACCACTTAAAATTTTGGGGTGAGTCTCTTTTCCTCACCAAGGCTGCATTATTTGATCAAAAATACACTAAAAACAGTATAACAATAATGTGAACTATGATTACAATGTAAAATAACTGTTTTCTATTTTAATATATTTTAAAATGTCATTTATTTCTGTTATGGCAAAGCTACATTTTCAACAGTCATTACTCCAGTCTTCAGTGCCACATGATCCTTCAGAAATAATTATAATATGCTGATTTAATGCTAAAGAAACATTTCTTATAAAACAGTTTATAAGACAGCATATATTTGAAACAGAAATTTTTAATAATAATATGTAATTTTAATAATAATTTGTAAATTTTTGTATTTTGTATTTTTTTATATTTTGTAATAAACAGTGTAAGCAAAAAGTCTTTGCTGTCACTTTTGATCAATTAAATTCAAATACATACTTGTTAAATAAAAGCGTTAATTTCTTCAAATAATTAAAAAAAATCTTACTGCCCCAAACCTTTAAAATGATGTGTATTTATATTTGATTTATTACATGTAAAAACAAAAATGAACATTTTATGAAATTACGAAGTACAACACGTTAACTGTATGGCTACATATCTTTTTTTTTTTGTTTTGTTTGTTTGGTAATGTCGATTAGCCACTTTTTTTAAATCAGAAGTGACTATTTTCACAAAGCCAAGCACCTGTAATCATCAGCACCTTGATTAAAGGGGTCATATGATGCTGCAAAAAAGAACATTATTTTGTGTATTTGGTGTAACGAAATGTGTTTATGCGGTTTAAAGTTCAAAAAACACATTATTTTCCACATACTGTACATTATTGTTTCTCCTCTATGCCCCGCCTTTTTGAAACGCGTCGATTTTTACAAAGCTCATCGATCTGAAAAAGCGAGGTGTGCTGTGATTGGCCAGCTATCCAGTGTGTTGTGATTGGCCGAATACCTCAAGCGTGAGACGGAAATGTTACGCCCCTCACATACTGTTGATGCCGTGTCCGGCCGGAGCGACGAGACAAAAACATTAATACCCATTACAAACGAGGCATTTGTTGCATCCAGTGGGGACATACCGTATTGTCCCGAATATAAGACAATGTTTTTTTCTTGGAAATACATCTGAAAAAACGCGGTCGTCTTATATTCAGGGTCTAGACTTTGACATGTCAATAATACACCCACAACAATAGATGGCGCCAAATATGCATAAAACGAATGTGCCATGAAATACCTAATGTAATGCGTGTTGTAAAGATCGCAAGTAAAACAAAAGAAGCAGAAAACCTTACAGCTGCATGAGTCGTGACTGTCACGTTAACCAAACTCCCTTTGTGATTGGAAAAATTGAAATCGCATCATATGACCCCTTTAACACTTTCTGCCATCTATACCAGGTAACCGCCATACTCACAGTCACCTGCTCTGGGATTTGAGGCATCTGGTCTTATTTGTGGTGTGGGTTTTGCAGGCCTTGACAGTCTTTTCATCTGGCTCTCGATAATGATGGTCATAAAACTAATCTGGGGGGTAAACTGCTTTTCAGGCACAACGGTTATCTAATATGGTAAGCGCGAATTAATCTTTTGCCTTTCCAAGATTCACCCTCACCCTGAACTGTCATTTGAAAAACATACAGTAATATCTAACCATTCATATTTGCATAACTACCATTGTCTTATTCCATTTAATAGAAGTACGGATGTGTAAACACTTTCATCTTAGTTCTTGGTGTGTATTTAGCATTGCAACTGCGTTTGCAATTGGAGAGCACATATATTTTTCTTCTTGATGCTTTCTTAATCAAGTTATACACTAGAAAATGCATATATGTTTTATAATTGTCAGTTGGTTGCCAGTTATATTTATGCAAATGCTGCCAACTGATGCACATCAGCATAACTCAAGGCACATCTGTGTGATAGAAGCTGTATTAGGCTCTTATATGTGATTTAAGAGCAAGCTAACATGCATGCCCAGAGCTCTTTCTATCTCTCCCCCTGATCCGGCATTTCTGCTGTTGATTTGGAGGAACAACTGATAAACAGCATTTTGAGATTATACATAGTCTTCCAAAACTTAGCTAATGAATAATTAATGTGGCTTGACTCCTCAATCGAAAAGTAAGGACTCCTGACATAATATATAATGAGAAAAGTCTGCATAAAAGAGAGAGTATTCATCATCATGCCTGTATTCGAAAAGCGGCCCACACTCAAATGGGAACTACAGGTTCAGCCTTTGAGGATTAGTGATTATGGTAATGGAATGCTAATAACCAGCACAGTCAGGACAGCGGCTGATTGGACGACAGACCTTATTTTATTCTGCCCATAAATCCCTGATGCAGCCTGATGAGGTACAGGGGAGCACATGAGTGTTAAATGAATTCCGCATTTACTCATCAAGGCCACACTTTTATTAACAAAACTCCCTGAAGAGATGAGTGTACCGTCAGCCGGCCTCTAGATTACACTTGGACGTCTCTATAGAGCTAACTGGGGATGCTATGTTTTACTGGGATCTAAACAATGGAAATAAATCATAATGTCAAAGCACCAACAAGAGGATGGAAGTGATTAATTCACACATGTGCTGCGGTAAAGGTCACTCAGCACAAGAGCAGAGCACATGGCTTAGATCATTAACTTTACATCCTGCACTGCACCATGGGAGGTATTAGCTCTGCTGCTGTGATTGAAAGGTTGCTGGTTCAAGTCTCAGTATCTGAGAGACTGATGTAGCTCTAGGTGGGTTGCAGGTTGCACCCGTTTGCACGCTTCCTGTTCTACTGTAGCTGTGTTTTAAAATAAGAAACTGCTACTGTATAACCCCTGAGTGCCAGTGCCATAACCCAAATAAAAGATAAACCTTTTAACCTGTGGCTTGGCGAGCCTTATACTGCTCTTTTAGGATTTAAGTGATGGATCAAAGCCAGAATGGTTCTTTATCAAGTTTTTATCTGACGTTTTAATTGCTCTGATAATAAAAGATGTGCCCTTAGCATAAGTGTAATTAACACTACATATTTTTGGTCTGGGATGGTGTGATGTCACTATTCAAAAGATCAAATTTAAAGCACAGTCATGAAATATAACACCCAATATTCAGTATTAGTGAGAGCATGGAAACAGCAGACCGCTCATAACACAACTCCTGTTTGACTTATGTAGTCCAGTTTTAGTCACTGGTGCTCAGGGACTTTTTTTCTCTCTTCCTCTAATTGTGTCCGTGGTCATCTACAGTCTGGATGCATCCCTCAGCACTCACAGCCAGAAGCTCTTTGCTTAGATCTAACAGCAAACTCTAACACCAATGTTGAGAGTTGAGTGTAAATATGCTAGTTTGTTTCATTCAAATTGTGCCGCATACAGTATAGTATTTAAAAGTACTGTGTTTTTTGTGTAAGGCAGTCCGCCATAGAAAATTCCACTAACGAAATACAAAATACTGTGCATAGATACAGAATTAACACCATCCTCAGAAAGAGAAGAAATTAATAAATGCTATACAAAAGATTTATTTCAAATAAATGCTGGGGTTTTTTATTCATCAAGAAATCCTGGAAGAAATCTATCACTGTTTTCATGAAAATGAGTAGCACAGCTATGTTTAACTGTGATTACAAGAAATGTTGAACATCAAATCAGCATATTAAAATGGTTTCTGAAGGATCATGTGATACTGAAGACAGGCTGGCTGCTGAAAATTCAGCTTTGCATCGCAGGAATAAATTACATTTTAAAATATAATCAAATAGAAAACTATTTAACTAACATTTAACTAAAAATTATATTAAATTGTAATACTGCAAAATGAGTATAAAAGACTTATTTTCCTATTAAAAAAGTCTTAGCAACTCCAAACTTTTTAACAGCAGTGTATATTGGTTAAAATCATACTAATAATTTTTTGTTTGTGTAATGTAAGCTTATGTGTGTATGTAAGCTTAAAGGGGTCATAGGATGCCCATTTTCCACAAGATATGATTCTTTGGGGTCTTAATGAAAAGTCTATAACATAGTTTGGTTAAAATTTCTCAATGGTAGTGTAAAAAACACCTTTTTTACCCTGTAGAAAGTAAGTTCTCTGAAAGTTTTGTTAAAAGGTTTTTTTTTCTTTTCTCATGCGTGAAACAGAGGATGCGCGATCTATCGCCAGATTCACACATAGGCTATCCTACTGC